GGTGATGGTGATGGTGGTGATGGTGGTGGTGGTGATGGTGATGGTGATGGTGATGGTGATGGTGACGGTGATGATGGTGATGGTGATGGTGATGGTGATGGTGATGCTGACGGTGATGGTGATGGTGATGATACAGATGAGGATGATGGTGATGATGCGGATGAGGATGAGGTTGAGGAGGAGGATGATGAGGATGAGGATGAGGATGATGATGCTGATGATGGTGGTGATGCTGATGCTGATGCTGATGATGATGCTGATGCTGTTAATGATGATCTCACTTCAAGTCCTCCTCCTTCCTCGCCCCCAAACTTTCCCCGAAGGGAAAGAAAAGGGGCGTTGGAAGGAGAAGCTCCTCCCCAAAACCACCCACGCCCTGAAGGGCGTGGGTGGGATTTCGGCCTGTGGTGGCCCGCTCTCGCACCCGGAAGAGTTTTCAGGCATGGATCCAGCACAGCCTCCATCCCTGGCCAAGCTCTTATCGAAATCCACTCAGGAGGGAAAAAACACACAGACACAATTAATCGTCGATTCCCGGGAAAATATGGGAAACTATGGGAAATGGGGGGAAGACAGACACCCAGAAAATATGGGAAAATATGGGAAATGTTTTTATTTGTGTATATTTGTTTGTGTGTCCCAGTTCCCCTTCATCCGCATGGAAACAAATCCGATTCGACTCAAGATGAGAAGCTTGTCCCAGGGAAGGCGTGTAGACCTTATGGGCCCATTCTGCGACAATTCACGACGTCGGGAGGTTGAGGATGATGTGCAGACCCTCCTGAGCGCGGCTAGGAGGGTTACGTCGAGACATTCGACGTCATGATTTTGTCAGTACGGGGTTCTTAAGTTCTCGAACTTCTCTTACGGCTAGCTCTTCATTCTGGGAAGAGTTCTGGTGGTCGCGGGCCCCAGAGGCCGATATTATTCAGATTTCCCGCATACCATCGCTACTCTTTCAAACCGCAAGGTGTCTCGGTGTGGGAGTGATAAGCCGTCTCTAAGGCTTGTCTTGGGATGCGCTCTGACAACTAATCACTTCGAAGGAGAATTCAGCCGTGGCCTCGAGAAACCTCCAGGATGCCTTATGAGGGTTGAAAACGCACCCAAACCTCGGCCCTCGAACTCCCCTGGGCCCTGTGATCCAGGCCAGGTAGGGATGACTTGCGCCGACATTTGCGCGTAAGCTGCTCGCGTAAGGTCGCCGTGAGCGCCCTGGTCTCCAATGTGGAGTGCCGCGCTGGCGGCCCGCGCAAGCTGCCGCGTAATGTCGCTGCGCCATCTCTTATACGGCCCGTTTATGTTCGTCTCCAGTTTTTTTGACGTGGCCCCCCAACGTTCTCGACTCCTTCCTGGAGCCGGTATCTCACACGGCGTATTGGTTCGGAAGCGGCGTCCAGAGTCCGGGCAGGGAAGACAAACAGCCCAGCCTGTGTGCAGCAATGAGGTCGGGGGTTGCGAAAGGTGCCTTTGGCCGAAGGTGCCCCCAGCTGTTCGTTCCATTTAGGAGCCCCTGGTCGGAAACTGGAACATGTACATTACCAGTGGCGGGCTCCTTTTCCATCTAAGGGCTTTTCGAGGGTCGGGGACGACGCCGGGGTCGTGTGGTGAGTACTTGTTGTGTTCGCTTCCCAGAGGAAGCAGCGAAGCATGTATACACCAGAATCCCGTACACACCAGGATCCGCTTTCCGGTGCGAGTCTCAGTGCGGGGCCGGAAAACAGCGTCGGTGTATAGATTCCAGCTCTTTCCCTGGGGCCCTCTGGACCTTGTGGGGGGCGCTCTGGCAGCGTGGGGGGCCTCCTTGGGAATCCTGGGGGCACCATGCACCAGGAGGCACTTCTAGTAGTATTGTAATGTTCCCGCCTACTTTTAGCCTTGATCGCCAGAAAGAGTTTCGAGCACCAGAAAAGTACCCACAAACTCGAAGGTTTTCACGCGTCGGGCCCTGGGAGACACTCGTCCGACACTGTTTCGACACTGTCTCGATACTCTGTCGACAGTTTTCCGGGTGCTCGAAATTGTTTCTGGTATATGGTCCTTAAGTACGATGGGAGCAACATAATTCTAGTAACACCCAACCAGGGGCCCTGGATAGCCCTGTCCAGTGTCGTTGGTGCACGCCGATGTGTTGTCTCGTGCTCTGTTTTCAAGTCTCGACCCGAACGGTGTTTTGGCGAGCTCGTGGACCTCTTTTCTTTCGACGTCCTGCAGCAGAGAGGCGGGACGGAGGCAAGGCGAGGGAGCACGAGCAAAACGTCAAACATCGGGGCACGCCGCTTACAGTCCGCCCCCACAGCCAGGATGGTCGACGTCCCAAGGGTACCCTTGCATCCTTCAGGAGGGAACAAAAACACACAGACACAATGAATCGTCGATTCCCAGAAAATATAGGAAAATATGGGAAGTGGGGGGGAAGACAAAAACCCAGAAAATATAGGAAAATATCGGGAATCTTTTTATTTGTGTGTATTTATTTGTGTGTCCCAGTTCCCCTTCAATCCTTGCCTCATCGGTCATCTTCGGCCCATCCTCAAAATCTCTCTCGATGGCCAGCCCCGCTCGAAGAGCCTCGGCGGGGGCGTCCAGGGCCCTTGCATTCTTACCGCGCGTCCTTCTTCCACGGGTTGACCTTTACATTCGGCCCGAGGTATAAGATCGAGGTCGGCTCTTGGATGTTCTTGCGCACCCTGGGGAGGGCACCCCCGGATGCCCTGTGCTTGCTCTGGCCGGCGGAGGGTCTCATGTTCTTGTGTGGTGTGCTTCTGGCCCAGGTCCGACTTCACGAGACGCCATCTCACACTGCGTGCCGTCCCCTGCTTTGGCAGCTCGACCGTAGGCAGCTCTCGGGCGCCGAGGCCCCGCCGAAGCACCCCTGCTTCTTAGCAGGCGTGGGCCTTGCCAATATATATATATATATGTATATATACACACATACACATATGTGTAGAGAGAGTGAGAGAGAAGCAAACAAGAGACACAGAGAAAGAGAGAGAGAGAGGAAACAACAAAAAACAGAGAGAGAGAGACAGAGAGAGCGAGAGAGACAGAGAGAGAGAGAGAGAAAAAAAAAAAAAAACGCCTTCTCAGGAGCAGCCCCCTTCTGAGACGCCTTCCCCCTCCCCCTTTCCCCCCCTTCTGGCCTGGGTCCGACTGTAGGTCGAGCCTCAGCTCGTCCCCCTCGCTCCGCCTCGAGCAGCCGGTTCCCGCCGTAAAAAAATGGTTCGGGATGAAACATTGGTCCTGGGGTACAGTGAGCGGCTTGAATAAGGAACACTTGCTTTTCAAAAGGGGCTCGGTCGTTCCTTAGGCTTGCATGCGTTATTTACAGTTCCTTATGCGTTATTTGTTATGTATCGTTCCTTATGCGTTATTCCATGGGATAAAAAGAGGGCTTCGTTCCTTATTTATCTTTCCTTAGGTCAGGCCGATGACTGTAAGGGTCGGGGCTTCCGGGGACCGCGCATGAAAAAAGAAATCGGGACGCCGCATGACTGGGCCCTTGCCAGGGCCAAAGGCAGGGTTCCCTGGGCCTCGCTTCCTGAGGGGGGCGCTGAATGGAGGGGGAAGTGAGGTGCAGCGTCGGGGCCCTGGAGGGCCCCACTCTGGGGCCGCAGGGGCCCCCTTTTCTGCAGCCCTCGCTGCCCACCCATGAATCGCGCCCCCATTTATCGGCCCGGTCAGGGCTAGTGGCAGAGTTCCTTGGGCCTCGCGTGGAATGGAGGGGGCGAACAATTGGGGGGGCAGCGAGAGCTGCAGAAAAGGCCCTAGAGGGGCCCATTCGGACCTTTCAGGGTCCGAGAATGCACCATTCTCCCCCCCCTTAATTCACGCCCAAGTTCCAGGCCGTCCAAATGTCGGAGAAGGAAAGCGTACGGATGCTGTTGCCTGTGCTTCGTTTTTGCGTCTTGCGGCCTCCTGGGAGGCCCTAGTCGCCACCGCTGGATTCGCCTCGAGATTCCGGTCCGAACGCACTCCGGATGAGGTCCGGGGAGTAGCGGTTCTGTTGCTTTTTGGTTTCCCCCACATTGGGTCGAAGCAGATGGGGTCAGAGGATCGCGCCGCATCGCCGATGCATCGACGATGCGGCTCGGTGTGGAGCCCGACTTTCTCCACGCTGACGTCGCCGACAACCGCCGATGCATCGGTGGTGCACCCAGCGACGCAGCGCGGTCCTCCGACCCCACCAGCTCGGGCCCCATCTGGGAGGCCTCTGTTGGCGCCAGAGAGATCTGGTCCTGGCTGGAGCTGGTCCTGGACACTGTACAGAGGTTCCATCCTGACCCTCGGCCACGCGTCAGAGTGACCTTTCGCTGCAGTGACCTTCGGTGCGGGCGCACTGGGGCCCTCGGATGGCTGAGTGCGATACGATAGCAGCGGCTTGCGTGCTCGTGTTTGGCCTCCCTGAGTCCCCCCGAAAGCCGCGCACCAAAGACCAAAGGTCACTCTTGCCTTGGGTCACTATTGCGTGTAACCCAGGCCGGCAATGAATGAGCCCCCCCCCTCTGGTGACATTGGCGCGTACGTTGCCTTCGTAAGCTCGCTCGTAAGCTCGCGCGTAAGCGCCCTCGTCCAATGCGGCGTGTCGCGCCGGCGGCCCGCGTAAACCACTGCGTAAGGTCGCGGTGCCATCTGGCGCAAGACCGCTTGTTGATCGTCGCTCATGTAGCCTCCCCCCCATTCATCGCCCCCCCAGCAAGCGAGGCCCAGGGATTATGAGGAAAATCCTCCCCTCCGACGGGGGTCAACCTCGCCGCATCGTCGTGCCGCGACCGGGGTCGGAGCGCCTTCGGCGCGCGGTGGCTGCCCGCGACTGGCGCCGATTTGGGGCTGTCGGCGGGGGTGACGCTCCCCCGATGCTTGTTAAGAAACTCGGAGTAGTCTGGGGGCGATGTTTCCACTGTTGTTGGCTAGTCTCGAGCATGGTTTGACAATGTCTCATTTGTCTTCCAAGAGCCCCTTGGAAGAGGACATGCCCGACCTGACTCGAGGCCGACCCCACCCACTCGGGATGGATCCTTGTTCGGCCAGGACTGCGCCCAGGATCCTGGACCTGCAGGATCCTGGGCGCCAGATATGCGCCCAGGATCCAGCCGGGATGGACCCTGGTTCGGTCGCACTTGATGGGCCTGTTTTCCACCACCACCACCATAAGTTGGAGGGGGAGGGGGTCCTCCTCCCCCTCCTCCTCCTCCTCCTCCTCCTCCTCCTCCTCCTCCTCCTCTTCCTCCTCCTCCTCTTCGTCATCCTCCTCCTCGTCCTCCTACTCCTCCCTCAATCTAGCGTTGGTGGTGGTGGGAAGCAGGCCCAGCAGCACTCCATCCTGCGCCCAGGATATGCTGCACCCCACCCGGGGGGCCTGCCTCTGCCGGTGCCGTCGCCCCCCCACGTCCCCCCCCCCCCCGCGGACGAGGAGGGACGGGGTGGCGGTGCGGCTGCGGGCGGCGCGGCCGGTCGCGCCGGCCCTCGGGGAGGAAAGCGTCGCCGTCGTCGCCGTCGCCGTCGTCGTCGTCGTCGTCGCAGCCGTCGTTGTCGTCGGCAACGTCGGTATCGTCGGTACCGTTGCGTCGTGTGCCGTCGTCGGTACCGTCGGTATCGTCGGTGTGTGGGGCGGCGGCGGCGGCGGCGGCGGCGGCGGCGGTGGCGGCGGCGGCGTCGTCGTCGTCGTCGTCGTTGTCGTCGTCGTCGTCGTCGTCGTCGTCGTCGTCGGCGGCGGCGGCGGCGGCGGCGGCGGCGGCGTCGCAGAGATTTGGCTTGCCCAGCCCTTCTCGTGTCGGGCCCTCGTGTTTCGGCTGGCGCAGTGCTGCCTTTCGTGCTCCTCCTGCCGCCGCCTCTGGTGCCCCCTCCTCCCGGAGGGGAAAAACACAGAGACACTATAGTGAATCGTCGACTCGACTCCTAGGAAAATCTGGGAAGCTAGGGGAAGTGGGGGGAAGACGAGCTCCCAGAAAATGCAAGTGTCATACGGGGGAAGCCTGGGACTTGTGTCTGCTGATTTTCGGCGGGGAGCGAGGGGGAAATCAGAAGAAGAAGGTCTTCTCAGAAGGCGAAGGGACTTCTCAGAAGGCCTCTGGCCTCCTGAGAAGTTCTCTTTGTCGCCGGGGAAGGCTTAGAGATCTTTTTAGAAGGCTTGGGGGCTTCCGAGCCTACTGAGAAGGCCTTCTCCTCCTCACCTCCCTCCTGGGCTCGCCGCCGATATTTGCGTGTTCCTGGGCCCCTTCGCTCCTTTCCTCCTGCTCTGGCCTCTCCCCCCCCCCTGTCTCCGTGGGAGGCCTCGGAGGCCCCAGGAGGCCGGGTCCTCCTCAAGCGCCCCGTGGAGTGGCGCCAGGAAGTGGGGCCTCTTTCTCCTCTGCCCACTTGTTCTCAAGTCGGGCAAGACCTGGCACCTGTGCCATTGGGACCCCTTCCCAGAAAAAAACAGGCGGGTAGCAGCCCGATCGTCACCCTTGCTTGCCCGTATGGGGGCCGAGGGGAGAGAAAATTGCTCCTCGTCGCCAGCGGCCACCCATGGAGTGGGTGGTGGGCAGTTTGGGCGTCGGAGCACGCCCTCTGGCGGCCCCTGCCCCGAGCAGGGTGCAACGGCAAAATCAAGTCGGGCAATACCTCTATAGGAGGAATGTTCAAGGAAAGTAAAATCGTCTGCGCACGAGCCGTCGATGATTAGAGCATTTATGCGCCTTGTTTGATTATTGTCATATTTTCCGGAAGCCGGCTATAGGGGGACACGCCCGACCTAAGCCTAGAATGGTACCCGGAGGAGCACGGCATCCGTTCATGCCCGCGCCCCACCACCGACATCTCCTGTCCCGCGCCTCATCCTGCCTCGCTGGCAACTGCTGGCAGACTGCCTACCTGACCTGACGACTGCCATTGCGCTGCCTCCTTGGGGGGTCCAGCGGAAGGCGTTTTACGCGAGACTTGAGGCTCCCTGGGAGCTGCCAGGTGCGCACCTGTTTCGTTTTGCTGCGCCCCTGCACTTGTCGCCATCCTGCTACGGGTCCTTGGGGGGCCCAGCCGAGCGAGGTCTGACGCTAGACCTCGCCTCGGGCGCGCAACTGTAGCCACTTTGCTAGGGGGCTCCCGAACGAAGTGAACCCTACCCTCCCCCTCAGAAATCGTGGGGGGTTGGGGTGGGTTTCGCGCGTGGCCCTCTATCTGCTGCCCCTTGGAGGGGCGTCCGCCAAAGTGATGCACGCTAAACCTCACAATCCTGGGCGCTCAGCCGTTTGCCACTTTGCTGCGTCCGTGGGGCCGTGCGGGGCGACGTTGGGCGCCAGACCCCGCCCTTCCTGGACACTGCCAGGAACGCAACTGGCGACTTGGGAGGTCCAGCGGAGCGCGAGCTTCCCCAGATCCAAACGCGAGCTCCCGCTATTTTGCCAGAGGGCTAGGCTTTGGCCGTCTCCGGAAAACAAGCTCGTAGCAGCCCGATCGCCACCCTTGCTGGACGCAGTTTGGGGACCCTTACCAGCCGATCGTAGGATCCGGCCACCGGATCCACCCTGGTGGGACTCCCTTAAACGGAGTTACCTTAGGGGGCGTCCCAACGTTCCTTTCGGAGGTAGGGGGGAACTAAAGTCCCGACGCTGGTGTGGGTAATACGTCACCGGCGCCCGTGTGTTTTTTTGGACGCCCGGAATGGGTACGGAAAGAATGGGTACAATGCCCAACAGCAGTTCTTCTTCATTTTGAACACGGTTCGCTGTCCACGCCGCCGCGGCCTGTGTCCATTAGAGACAGAAGGCCGCCTGCCCAACAGCGGCCGCTGTTGGTTCCGGACAACATTTGTTGTTGGGCATTGTACCCCTTTTTCCGTACACGTTTCGGGCGTCCAAATCTTTGGTTGGTTACCAAAGAGCCCCATGCAGTTGTGGCGGCTTCAGGCTACGTGAGCCGCCGCTTTTCTCGGGATCTGGCCTGAGGCTGCATGGGCCCAGCGCGTGTGAAGTCACGCAGCACTCTGAACACCCTCCTCGGATGTCGCTCGGGTGTTTTGTGCTTGGCGAAGTTTTGTAAGTTTTGTTTTTGCAAGAGGAGGAAGAGATACCCCTACACCTTAGGCGATGCTTAAGAAAACCCAAGTTTTCGGCCAGAGTTTCGATTATTCTTCGCGTTTCCATGTAAATCCCAAGATTTTGATAGAAATGTTGGGTTTTTTTTTACGCAAGTGCTGAGACCATGAATTTCTTAACCCCAGGGTGTGCCCCAATATTTCGCAGGGTGTACCCCAGTATTTCGCAGGGTGCTCCCCAATATTTCGCAGGGTGAAGTTCTGAAGCATGTCGCAGGGTGTACCCCAATCTTGCCCTCGCTTTGCCGTCTGGGGCCTCCTCGGAGAGGCCTTCGTCGCCACGGCTGGGCTCCGCTTTTCGAAAGTATGGCCCGAGCGCTTCCCGGGTGAGAGGTTCGGGGAGCGGCGGCCTCGGCACCCTCCGGTTAGCCCAGATTTCGTAAATGAAGGGAGGGGGGTCTCATTTGGGGGGGGGGGTCTTTTCCAGGCCATCTTGGAGGGCCTGGGGTGGGGGGGTCTGGGGACGATGAATTTTGGAGGGTTCTCCCACGGGGGGTGGTCTGAAGTGGCTTGTCTTGGAGGGCCTGGGGGGGGTCTGGGGGCGATGAATTTTGGAGGGTTCTCCCACGGGGGCGGTCTGAAGTGGCTCGTCTTGGAGGGTCCAGACCCCCTCCCTTTTCTTACGAAGTCTGGAGTGCCCCATTCCCGCTCTGTTCGGGCGGGGCGAGGACGAGGACGCATCCGTTCCCGCGCGTTCCGGACTGCCCTCAGAGCGTTCCGGACCGCTCTGAGAAGGCTGCGCCGCCCGAGACGTTCTCCAGAGCCGCCGGATCTAAGAGGTGATCGATTTATCTTCCCCCCAGTTCATCCTCGTCTTGGCTTCGTCTTAACTTTTTGGTCACCCCGCTGCCGCTTCCTTGGCGTTACCAGAAGCGAACCTGTCGCCACCATGAGCGACGCAAACAAAGAGGGTCGTCTTCACCGACGTTGGCGCGTAAGTTGCCCGCGTAAGGTCTCGCATAAGCGCCTTCGTCTCCAATGTGGCGTTCCACGATGGCGGCCCGCGTAAACCGCGGCGTTAGCCCCCTGTGTCATCTCGCGTGAAACGCTTTTGTCATCGTCGCTCAATTGTCGACAGTGTCGTTTGCTCATCGGGTGTCCTGCCACGGAGACCCGGATCATCACCCCCCTTTCCCTGGGCGTTGCTGTGCTCTTGCTCCTTCCTCGGCGTGTTCTTACTCTTTCCCGCGCCACCCCGTTCCCTTGGAATCGCTCTATTGGGACCCATGGCCCAAATGGCGTGTAACGCCATGTCTGCAGAAATATACTGCAAAAGGAAACGCACGCCTTTTCTTACAGTGTTCGTCAACTTGGACCCCTAACGGTACGCCCTGGCACTGCCGATCTACAGTCTCAGTGGTGCAATTTGAATTGGTGCAATATAGGGGGCGCAGTCCACCCGTGGAAATTGCAATTCTCAGCTCCAGCGGTCGTGCAAGCATCCGACCGTCCCACCCGCAACTTGGTTGCAAAACTCACCTGGCCATGGTCTCTACGACCGCATTGGGCGCGCGGAACTCAACCGCGCAGAGAAGTCCGCTCTGCAGGTATCGAACTGGTGGCGGCGATGGTGGCGACCGCGATTCCACCAACGATGGCGATGCCGATGGTAATGACACTGGTGATGGGGAGTCAACGACGACGGTGGTGCTGGTGTTGACTTGGATGGTTTTGACAATGGTTGTGGCAACGATGATGCTGGCGATGGTGATGACGATGGTGCCGGGGTTGATGGGGAAGTGCCCGCGCGAGGAAGTTCGACGAAGGCGACGATATCGACGATGATAACGGCGGCGGTGATGATGTCTATGGTGATGATGATGATGATGACGATGACGATGGTTTTGGTGACGTTGGCGATGATGATGCCGACTGCGAAAATGAGGATGATGAGGAAGTGCGCGCCCGCATGAATTCCGAAAGCAGTATATACAGTCAATGAAAGACCGTGTGGGCTTTGCATGTGGTTGAACGCTTCTGTGCTGACATTGTTCAGAAACTAGTGGTTTGAGAACGGTTTCGACATTTGCGCGCGGAGATGCGCGCGTGAGGCCCGCACGGTATATTTCACAGAGATGACGGCAGCGCGATGGTTGTTTAACACTTGCAACATACGCGCGCGGGGGCCGCTTGGTTTCACTTTCCACTTGACGGTCGGCATTCCCGTCGCATTCGTGTGGGTAAGTCCATGGAATTTCGCATATAGATGTGAAGGCCTCTGCTGGGCTTGTCCCACATGCAATTGGTTTGTCAGGATTTCGACGTGCGAGCGTGGAGATGCGCGCGCGTGGCCCGAATGGTATTCTTTTACAGTCCGCGGGCGCCCAGTGGCTGCTGAACTCTTTCTGCTTGCGTGAGTGCGTGTCCCGCGTGGCCCGATGCCGCCCAGTGGTGAAACAGCAGTGGCCATGCTACCACCGCACCGAGTGCACACGCGCAGATCTGTAGGACCCCCTTTGACGAAAAACCCATATACCTCCTCCTCCTCCTCCTCCTCCTCCTCCTCCTCCTCCTCCTCCTCCCTCCCTCCCTCCCTCCCTCCCTCCCTCCCCTCCTCCCTCCCCCCCCTCCCTCCTGCTCCTCCTCCTCCTCTCCTCCTCCTCTTCTCCTTCCTCCTCCTCCTCCTCCTCCTCCTCCTCCTCCCTCCTCCCTCCTCCCTCCTCCTCCTCCTCCTCCTCCTCCCTCATCCTGTCAATCTTGGGGGCACCCTCGGCCCTGCGCGGAGGGGACGTGGTTGCGGGGAGGGCGTCCAGCGTCGGCCACAGAAACCCTCGCGGACCTCAGAACATGGACAGTGATTCAGGCTGTTAGTTCTAGATCGGCATCCTTGGGGTTCCTCCTCGCCACGGCTGCGCCCAGTGAGGAGCCTGGGGACATTTGGGGACCCGGTGCCCAGACATTGGGCGATGTGACCTTGTGCAGTCCGCAGGCCATCTATACAGGCGGCCCGGATCAGTAGGTCGCCCCTGCCAGATCCAGGGTGCCCTCGTGTCCGGTGTCTTGCGACCCATGCCTCCCCTGCATTCCTGCGGCAGCGTGGCCCCGGGAAGGGCCTTGTGTCCTCTCGCGTGTCCTCCCCAATCAAGTCCGACTGTATAGCGGTGTCCTCGGTGTCAATCAGGTCTCGCGTCGATTCCTCGGTGTCGATTCCTCGGTGTCAATCAGGTCTCGCGTGTCCTCGGTGTCGATTCCTCTCCCGAGGGCAGTTTCTCGCCTTGGACCCACGCTTGACGGCCCCCGGGCCCGAGAGCGGCTCCAGATGCCGAAGTTCGGGCAGTTCTGCGGGGATTGCACTTTTTGACGAGCGCGAGAAAGCCCAGTGGCACAGAGGAGGAGGAGGAGGAGGAGGAGGAGGAGGAGGAGGAGGAGGAGGAGGAGGAGGAGGAGGAGGGGAGGAGGAGGAGGAGGAGGAGGAGGAGGAGGAGACGGAGGAGGAGGAGGAGGAGGAGGAGGAGGAGACGGAGGAGGGGGAGGGAAGGAGGAGGAGGAGGAGCAGGAGGAGGCGGCGGGAGGAACGGCGGGGGAGGAGCGCACCCAGGCACGCCCCCGGCGAGTTCGCCTGGATTCACCTGGCGCCCCTGGCCGCTCGGATTCCACACATCGCCAGCGGTTAAGGTACAGTGCCGTTTTTAATACATGCTCCGCGTGCGGACCATGTATTAAAAATGCAAGGGTTTAGTATTAAACAACGATGTGTTCACGCATACATTTGTTCATACATTAGTCATGTATTAAAACTCCTATATGTTTAAACATCCTATGTATTAAAAACTGCCCTGTATCCCTTTGTCAACCCAGGCCTCGCCGCAGCCAGCAGGGGCTGAGGAGCAGGAGGAGGTTTCGATGGCCCGCGAGCTGGAAGCCTGTGGGTGGGACAAGTTCGCGGTCGCCTTCTCCGAGACGGGGTCCCTCTTCCCCATGGCGCACAACAAGATCGCAGCCTTGAGTCGGGAGGGCTGGCGGCAGATCTTGTTCTCGTGGCTGGAGCTCAGGGAGGGCGTCATATCGTGTTCTCTACTCCCCCGTCAATGTTTGCATCTTCTTTGTCTTATTCTTCTTCTTCTCATTCCGATCATGTTGTTTCTCCCTTTTCTATCTTATGTAATTACCAGGTCGGTCGAATAATTTTGTGCGTTCCAAGCTAGGGCTGGACCCAAACTTTGTTAAGGCCATCTCGCGGGCCGTTGTGTTCTTCGATGTGTTTTGCATTCGAGGCGAGGCGAAGGCAAAGCGAGGAAGAACGAACAACAAAACGATCACGGAAAGCACCGTTTAGATTCAGCCCTGTTGCAAACTTCCCCTGCAGGAGCGAACTTGGCAGGGCGAGGAGCTCATGGATGACATCGCGAGTTATGTGCTGGGTGATGGCGAGCCCTCGCCGCGCGACGAAACCAGGCCAAAAAGGAGTGCACCACCTAGATCTGGTCCGTGATCCCCCCCCTTCGAGGGCACGCCCCTTTGTGTGACCAGGCCTGCACCCCTCCGGGGAGCTGCACGTGCTCGTCGATCCTGCCCTGTGCTGGCGCCCTTGAACATCCGGAGCCGCGGCCTCGCGGGCCGGGCCCCCGGGCCGCGGCCCTGTGGATACGGGGCGACTTGTCGCGGAGGCCCGGCGCGGACCGCCCCCGCGCGACGTCGTAGCCGCGGCGTCGCGCCCCAGAATCCAGGCCGCGAGGGCGCGGTCTCCCACGCCCTCCTCCTCCTCCTCCTCCTCCTCCTCCTCTTCCTCCTCCTCCTCCTCCTCCTCCTCCTCAACGGGCATGCTCGCCGCTCGTGGAAGCCTACATCCTTCCGCGACATCGACGGTTGTTCATTGTTCCTGCGACGTGTCGGCGCCCTTGGTCGATCACATTCCGTTTGCTCGCTCAAGAAAAATATGTTTTTCACGGGCGAAGAACGGGATAACATAAACTGTTTCGTCGTCGGGGACACCTGCCCCTGGGCGGCTTGAAAGTTTATACCCTTACGGTGGCACCGTAGGGGTATAAACTTTCCAGCCGCCCAGGGGCAGGTGTCCCCGACGGCGAAAAAGTTTATTTTATACCGTTCTTCGCTCGCTGATGTACTTGGTAACTTGCAGGCCGCGACGCGCGCGTCACTGGCCATCGGGTAGTTTGGGGGGCACCTGCGGTCGGACCCGCTTCCAGTTTCGCGGAGGATCCTGAAAGGTCCCTTCCGGCTCTTTTGTCTGGCACGGGGTTCCTTCCGCCGTGCCCTCCGCCTCCCCCATTCGAGTGGATCGAGGCGGGCGAACGTCGTACAGTCGGGGCGCTGAAGAGGGAACCCTTTTCGTTGGGGAGGGGCTCGGTGTTTCTTGATTGTTTCACAGCTTGCCAAAGGTTTTCCTCATGTGTTCGATGGGAAATCGAAGTTCAACTTATGGAAAACAAACAGGGGCCTCGTTCCTTCTTTAGGGTTCCTTAGGTCAACGCCCCGACTGTAGGCGAACAACATGTTCGCACCGGCGGCCTCGCGGGCCCGGCCCCTGGGCCGCGACCCCGCGGATGCGCGGGGCGTTCTTTCTGTTTCGGCGGATGCCCAGCGCGCAGCGTCTCCGTGCGACCGCGCAGCCGCGGCAGCGCGCCCTGTGGAAGCCAGGCCGCGAGGGCGCGGATAGGGGCACCTTCGCCGCTCGTGGGGAAGGGGGGCGAGAACGGAGGAGGAGGAGGAGGAGGAGGAGGAGGAGGAGGAGGAGGAGCAGGGGGTGGGGGGAGGAGGAGGAGGAGGAGGAGGAGGGGAGGAAGGAGGAGGAGGAGAGGAAGGAGGAGAAGGAGGAGGAGAGGAGGAGGAGGAGGAGTAGGAGGAGGAGGGGAGCGAGGAGGAGAGGAGGAGGAGGAGGAGGACGAGGAGGAGGAGGAGGAGGAGAAGGAGGAGGAGGAGGGGGGGTACGACATCCTGTCGCATGCTGATTTCGGCCCCGTCGCCCAGCGCGTCCCTGCGATACATGGCGCCAGGAGAAGCCAGGAGAAGCAGCCGCGTGCCGCCGATTTGCCAACACCACCTATTATTATCGCCCCCTGTTCACCCGACCCCAGTTGGAGCATCATGAGTTCGGCGCCCAGATCGTCATCATCCTCCTTTGTCCCTATCGTCGTCGTCCTTCTGCTAGTCCCATTCGAGATGCACTGTCTCACTACGGCTCTACCTGTTTCACTTCTGCTCGCACTTGCTGGGCGTCTCTTCCCCACACTGCGGCATCCGCGCGGAGCACGATGCAGGCCGATGCCCGATGCTGATGATGATGATGATGATGATGATGATGCTGATGATGATGATGATGATGATGGTGATGATGATGATGTTGATGATTATGCTGATGCTGTTGCTGATGCTGATGCTGAGTCTGATGCTGATGCTGATGATGCTGGTGATGGTGATGGTCATGGTGATAGTGATGGTGATCATGATGATGATGATGAGGAGGAGGATGATGATGAGGATGATGCTGATGATGATGATGATGATGGTGATGATGGTGATGATGATGCTAGTGCTGGTGCTGATGCTCATGTTGATACTGATGTTGCTGATGATGGTGATGATGGTAATGATGGTGATTGTGATGGTGTTGATGGTGATGACGATGATGCTGATGATGATGATGATGATGATGATGCTGGCGCTGGTTCTGGTGCTGGTGCTGGTGCTGGTGCTGATGCTGATTATGATGCTGGTGCTGATGCTGATGCTACTGATGATGACGATGATGGTGATACTAATGATGCTGAGGATGGTGATGATGATGGTGGTGCACTTTGATGATACCGATGGCTACACACGATGTTTTTGATGATGTTTGAGTATGAAGACGATGGTATTGACAATGATGATGGTGATGATGTGTGATGATGATGTTGCTGGTAATGTTTGACGATGTCTGTTAACGATGATGATGACGATGATGCTGATGATTATGATGATGGTTGCTGATGATGCTGTTTGATGGTGATTGATGATGCTGGTGATGCTGATGTTTGATGGTGTTTGGTTATGGTGTTTGCAACTTATGATGACATTTGATGGTGTTTGATGGTGATGCTGATCCTGATGATGATGATGAGGAGGAGGAGGAGGAGAAGGAGAAGGAGGAGGAGGAGGAGGAGGAGGAGGAGAAGGAGGAGAAGGAGGAGGAGGAGGAGGAGGAGGAGGATCCCCCTCGTCCGAGTCTCGCTGGCCCTGCCGGCGCTCGCCTCGAGCTGGCATCCTGCGGACGCTCCCGGGGAGCGCGAGGCGGCCTCGGCCGCGTCGTCTCCCCTGGGGGGGCGGGTTCCTGGACGCTGCTCGTGGCCGCTCTCGGGGATCGATCGGAAGGCGCACGAGGGGGGGAGTTGAGAGGGAGGGGGCCCTCCTCCTCATCCTCCTCCGCCCTCCTCCCTGCTCCTTCCTCCCCTCCTCCCTCCTCCACCTCCTCCCTCCACCTCCTCCCTCCTCCCTGCTCCTCCCTCCTCCTCTTCCTGCTCCCTCCTCCTTCTCCTCCTCCACCTCCTCCCTCCTCCTCCTCCTCCCTCCTCCTCCTCCTCCTCCTCCTACTCCTCCTCCTCCTCCTCCTCCTCCTCCTCCTCCTCCTCCAGAAGGGGCGGGCCTTCTCGGAAGGCTCGGAAGGCCCCCGGCCTTCTGAGAAGTGATCTAAGCTTCCCCCGAAGACGCACAATCAAACAATCGACGCAGATGCGACGTGGATTCGACGCGGAAGTCGACACGGGTTCGACCCGATTCGAGAATAGTTCGGCATGTACTAAACATAGGGTCAATGCGGACAGGTGCACGACGGGACAGACGGTTCCCAGAAGATGCAATACATATATACATATATATATATATACATATATATATTTATAGAAAGAGAGAGAGAGAGAGAGAGAGAAAGAAAAACGAAAAAAAAAAACCGTGCACGTTAGAGTTGCATTGGCAGAACAATGGTGAGACACGCCCCACCGCCGATGGTGCGTTCGAGCAGTGAGACGTCACACGCAAACCATAACGACGACAACGACGACAACGACGACCACGAAAATGGTGAGACACGCCCCACCGCCGATGGTGCGTTCGAGCAGTGAGACGTCACACGCAAACCATAACGACGACGACGACGACCACGACGACCACGACGACCACGCCGACCACGACGACCACGACGACCACGACCGCGACCACGACCGCGACCACGACCACGACGACGACGACGACGACGACGACGACGAGGACGACGGCGACGTGACGCTCCCGCGGCATGCAGGGCACTCCCACGACGGCGACGTGCCTCCGGCAGCCGCGGCCGCGGCCGGCGGTGCCGCCGCCGCCTCCGCCCGCCGCCTCCGCCCGTCGACCCGCCGCCGCCCGCCGCCCCCAGGGGCCCCGCGCAGCCTGCCGCAGCCCGGCGCAGCCTGCCGCAGCGCCGGGGCGCCTCGGCGCCGCTCCGCCCCTCTCGGGGCTCAAGGGACGGGGTCTAGGCTTCCGAGATGGGGTCGGAGTAGATGGGCTCGGAGGATTGCGCCGCATCGCCGATGCATCGGCGATGCGTCTCGATGTGGAGCCCGACTTGCTCCACGTCGACGTCGCCGATGCACCGCCGATGCCGACGTTGCATCGCTGGTGCATCGCCGATACATCGCCGATACATCGCCGATGTATCGGCGATGCGGCGCGATCCTCCGACCCCATGTACTCCGACCCCATCTAGGAGGCCTCTACGGGGGTCTGTGCAAAGGGGGGTCGGCCAGGGCACCGGATCCTGCAGGGTCCTGCGATGAAGCGGCGCGAAGCTCGGGACAAAAAATCGGATCGGGATATTTCGAAATCTCTGAGAATCGGCGGGTTTGGAGGATGTATTGGGCGCCGCGGCCGCTCCAGAGCGTTCCGGAACGCTCTGAGAGCGCTCCGGAACGCTCTGGAGCGGTTTGTCCCGATCCTAGCCCTGTGTCATCTATGCAAACGGAGTCAGCCAGGGCACCAGATCCTGCAGGATGCTGCTAAGGCCCCCTCTGGCCGACCCGGGGCAGCGAGCCGCTCGTGGCCGCGAGGCGGCCGCGCGCATACTGGCTGGCCCGGGTTTGCGAAGCCCTGCGTTGCAGATGTGTTTTGTTCCTGCATTGTAGTTTTTGGTTTCCTGCTGACCCGGGTCTGGATTGACCCGGGTCAGAAGATCCCCGACCCTCGTCTCGGAGGAGGGAAAGGCATCCATACCTCTACCCCCTCGCCCGTTTTCCCCTTTTTGGGGCCTCCTGGGAGGCCCTCGTCGCCACCGCTGGATTCGCCTCGAAATCCTAGTCAGAACGCACCCTGGGAGAGGTCGGGGGAGTGGCGGTATTGGTATACCTGTTGGTTTCCCCACTGTCTCGACTGGACGTCAGAGTGGCCTTTCGCCGGAGTGACCTTTGGTGCGGGCCGAGTGGGTCGGGGGTGGGCAGATCCCCCACCCTGACACGTCGATCAGCGAATTGTCCGTTTTCGGTTCTCGAGAGGGCACCGCGGCCGTCATTTTCCAGGCTTGCGCCCAGATGCATCGGCGATGCATCGGCGATGCGGCTCGATGTGGGCCAAATTTCCTCCACGCCGACGTCGCGGATGCATCGTCGACGTCGCCGATGCATCGCTGGTGCATCGTCCATGCATGTCTGATGCATCGCTGATCTATCGCCGACACGGCGCGATCCTCCGACCCCATGTAGGAGGCCTGTAGTGGAGCCGC